TCGTAACATAATTACCTCATTCCTCGTTGATGGATTTTCTTCAACCCTCGTTTTTGTTTTCTCGGTTTCGGGTGAAGTGGTAGCTTTATGAGCCTCCTACAAAAGACTCAACTTTAACAAATCATTTGCTTTGCGAGTGTTCTTACCTTGACAGAAACCTGATAAACGGTTTCCTTGTCGTGCGCCTCTGCGCCTTCCGAGGGTTCTGCTAATGATTTTGCAGACGAATCAATCACTTCTTGTGTACTACTTGTCGTTGGCTCCGTTTTCAATTTATCTGCAGATGATTCTAGGGCTGGTGTACTTTCTTCAAACTCTTTCACAGGCTCGGCTTCAGCTTCTTCAGCTTTCTGGAGGAAAACAAAAGATTTGCAATTTCTTGTTATCTAGGATTCGTTTAACTCTCAGTCGTACTGCCGTAATCAAACGAACAATAATTTAGATTTCAACTTCATCGTCCTCAAACTCCATAGACTAGTTCCAATTGTCACATGCAGACATACCCATAAGATTTGCTTTCCTGACAGGTCTTAGCCTACCCCGAAGACACTGCCATAAATCATTAATGTAAAAGAAGAAGCCGTCCTTTAAGCCGGCAACCAACGTTCTCCCTCTTATAGTCATGACGGTAGATTTTAAATCACACTAATGTGCATTCTACAGCATAGCTTATTTGTCCATCACTACCGGTTGCTACGGTGCGAACATCTCGCATGATGTTCTCCAGGAGAATTCATATTTTGTCTTAACTGTGAGCTCAAACTAACGCTGAGAACTGAAAAAAAGAAGCTTGAATTTAGAACCACTTTTGTAGTTTCAAAAGCAAGATTATTGAGTACCGGTGCGATCACATATGGAACAACTATGGAGTTGTTACGAAAATTGCTGGAGAGTAGAACTTGCAAAATCACAAGATAGGCACTAAAACCTCTGAGAGTTATTAGATTGAATTGAGCAATTGAAAAAGAAGCAATTGTTTTTATAAAATTGTCGCAAAGTGGAAATTAAATTTCTAATTATTAGGAAGAGCTCACTTGGGAAGATTCTTTCAGAACAAGCGGTTTGCCAACAGTCTTAGTGTGCTTCTTCAACCCTCCAAAAATATCGCCGTAGAACGTCTGAAATCAATAGTGTCTTCTTCAGTTCATGAAAATCCTGCAAAACTCAGAATAATTTATTTGAAAAAAAATCTCACCACAGCAAGAACTGTAAGTAAAACGCCAAGACCAGCTCCCAAAAATGAGAGATAGTCAGATTTATTCGGTGGCTGGGACTCGCTCGGGTATTGTTCCTGAAGTGATTGAAGGTCAGAAAGAAAAGGACATCAAGGCAAGAAACAATTGCGAAAATAAAAAAAAGCATTCACTTTCAGATTACCCAGCCAGTTCCTCTGCCCAACAGCTGGTTGCGGGACGTAAACGGGAGGTACTGGAAAGCTTAGATTTAGAAATTGGAAAAGAACCAGATGGTTGCACGCCCTCAATACTGGGAGACCCAAACCTTCATGTTTACTGGAAGAACTAGGTGCTGCTACCGTTGTCCTTATGAGCCTGAATGTTTGTGCCCGCAACACACGCCGACTCACATGTGATGAGAGGAGTCGGCTTAGCATGATAATATAAAGGTGCCTATTGAAAGAGCCTTTTTAGATAATACACGGATCGCATGCATCAGCTAAAATAAATAGATTTTCCATTACATAAATAAATAAGATGCTTGGAACTATTATCATTGACCACAAAATTTAGGACTACATTTATTGGAATTTTCAAAACCCGTGAACATGCAAACATGTGAAAGATGGTCATATCATTCGAGTACAAAACATGAAATAGAATTCACAAACAATCTTATACTACAATCACGCGGAAGCAGATAGTGTTCTGGCTTGAGCATCAGCTAACAACGAAGCATAGGCGGGTGGGATCTTGCAGTTCTCCAGCTTCTAGATGGAAAATTTGGCATGAGTGGGTATCAGAAAATTCTGGAAAAATCACCTTGGCTACCATTCTACTAGCAGCAGGACTCTTTGATCCAACAATACATAAGGCATCACTTCGGAATCGAGACCACCGTATTGATGGGTCGAATAATAGACCTAAAGTCAACAGCAATCATCAAAACATAGAGATGTATGCACACCGTACGACTATATTACTTCGATAAAGAAACTGTTTTTACCAAGTCCCCTTGAAAAAAATCATTATTTAACAATGTTCACAATGGAACTAACTGGGAGCCAACCATTCAAAC